CCAAGCATCAGCGGAGGCCGATCCAGAGGACCCCAACCAGAAGAAGAAGGCTGGTCTCACTAAGGAGCAGCGCGAGCAGTTGGCAGCTTACGAGAAGGAGCGCGCCAGGATTCGACAGGAGCGTGTCGACACCCTCGTACGAAAGCTGATCGACCGCCTCAGCGTCTGGACTGAGACTGACAAGAGCGCCGACGTGACCAGGGCCTTCCAGGAGAAGACGCGCCTCGAGGTTGAGAATCTTAAGATGGAGTCATTTGGAATTGACATCCTCCACGCGATTGGACAGACTTATGTCTCAAAAGCTTCTACACTGCTCCGCAGCCAGAAGTTCCTGGGTATCGGAGGCTTCTTCAGTAAACTTCGCGACAAGGGCAACATGGTAAAGGAAACGTGGAACACCATTACTAGCGCTATTGACGCTCAGCAAACCATGGAGCAGATGGCCCGCATGGAGGAGCAGGGCGGCGAGGACTGGAACGACGAGAAGAGGGCCGAGTACGAGCGCCGCGTCACCGGGAAGATTCTCACAGCTGCCTGGCGGGGAAGCAAGTTCGAGATCCAGGGCGTCCTACGGGAAGTGTGCGACGTTGTGCTCAACGACAAGAAGGTTCCGCTCAACAAGCGCCTGGAGCGCGCGCAGGCACTGGTCTTGATTGGCGACATCTTCAACAAGGTAAGAACCCCCCTTTCTTCATTATGACTCTCTTATTGCCTCCAGGTTACTAATGTTTTATACAGGCTGCACGCTCACCTGAGGAGGAGGGCGACTACCTCATCTTCGAGCAACTTGTCGCCGAGGCAGCAATCAAGAAAGACAAGACCGAGGATAAGAAGAGGAAGAAGGACAAGAAGGACGGATACTCCGCCGCCACCGCCGCTTCCTCAACCTCCGCCTCTGCGGCCGCCACCTCGTCCGTTTAGATATACCCCCAAGAAAAGAAAGAAAGCTCGAGGAAAGCTGTGAACTGTGAAGGAGGGTGGGATGCGTCGTATTGAATAGAGCGAATGTCTGTCTGGGTTAGGGCGAGAAGCGCGTGGTTTGCGAGCACAGGTCTAGGATTACAATTGGGTTCCTTTTGACCCCGACGAGAACGTTTTACGCATAGACTATGTCTTCCCTTTTTTGCCTCTTTTTTTTATTCTCCCCCCTTTTTGGTTATATCCATTTATGACTAGTTATGACATCAGAGAAAGTCCACCAAACTTCTGTCAATAATTGAATATTTGGCTGGCCTGGCTTTTAATGAATTAGAAGAATATGTACCGGACGTGATGTCTGATTTTTGCTTCAAGTCTTCGTATTCATTGTGTTGAGATGTCGGGTCTGGCATCTGTCATTGCTGTTTTTTATTTGATACCCAAACTCTCATCCATTTCAAGTTTTCGAATGGGGTCTTCACCCAGGGCGCTTTGTTTTATTTTCTATCCTATCGCCTCTCCGCGAGGCTTTTATTCCTAGATGTGGTTGTTGTTGTATTGCCCCCCAAGTCTGTGGGCTGAAGTCAGCCTGATTTTTTCAAATAGCACGCCTTTAGCCTTCTATATCGGTAGCCCTCCAAGGCTACCATGCGGTATCTCCTTCCTGTTTCCCGCCCGGTTCACTCATAAAAATCGGTGCCGGCTTATCCTAATGCAACGGCTAATTTCAACACAAGGGGGTATCTGTTGTACAATCGATGTAATCCACAAAAGGAAAGGGAGACGTGACCGTGGTAAATTAAAGAAAACCAAAATCAAAACAGATGTTGAGAGATGAGAGAAAGTGAGAGAAAGCGAAGTGAGAGAAGAGAGGAAGAGATGAAGAAGAAAGGCTTCGAGCCTTAGTCGCTCTAGCAATGAGAAAGCAATTATGAAAACTTTATCGTGTATGAAACGAAGAGATGATGATGAACAAAGTCGCATAGAACGCCCTCGCTTGCCGATGGCGAATAACAAAGAAAATTGAGTCGTCAGAGGTGAGAAGATCGCTTTATGATGCAAAGAACAAATTAAGAGGAAGCCGCCAATATTCGCCGGCGACACCCAGGTCGCGTGATTTCGCTTGATGTTTTGTTTTAGTGAGATGTCTGAATGTTGTTGCTGATATTCGTTGATTTCTTTGCTCCAAAAGGGGCGAGTTGCGCTCACCAGCTGACGTTGCATTTGCCAATGAGTTTAAGACAAGCCCTTGTCACTGGGAAGCTCAATGCCACTATCGCGATCCTTTGAGGATGCTGCGCTCCATGGTTCAAGATTTTCCAGGGACAATTGTTCGTCAGTATCAGATTCCGGAATGGTCATCTCTCGTTCCTCTTCGTCGTCGTCGGGGGGTGCGAGGACATGGCCACCGAATTTGATATCTGAAACCTTGACTTTGTATTCCAATGCTTTTTGCCCCTCCTTTATCAAGCCTTCAGTCCAGTCTAAACAGCGCTTGATGCTCTGGTTGATCTTCTGACTGTCGACAAGTAGCTCTTGATGCTTCGTGAGGTCCAGCTGGAGTCTGATTTCCTCCTGCTTTCGTCTGCTGGCCATCTTGGCGTTAGGCGACAAGGCCTCATCTGCTGACCCTTCGTCACTAGTAAACTCAGATTCATGTATCGACTCAGGCTCTTCTTCGGCCTGACTTTCTTCGCCGCTGGGATCTGAGAAGTCGACAGGCACCTCAGGCAGAGCCGCAGATGGAACTCGGCTTGAAGCTGCGGACATCATCATTTTGGTCGATCGGGACATCCGACGCATTCGTCGTAGTTCAGCAGTCTGCCTCCTTAATTGGCGTTCCAGTGTTCTATTGATAGCCTCGAGAGATGCATTGGTTATCTCAAGATCCTGAACCTTGCGTTCTCGCCTTGCATTGGCAACAAGGTCACTGACAATATCGCCATGGTTTGACTTGGTGGGGCTTTGAAGTTCACCAAGGGAGTCGTCGTCCCTGCCGCTGTCGGTATTCATGTCCTCGACCGCCTGCAGTATTGAGGCCATCGTCATAGCCGGTTGGCAAGCTGGGCTTTGTGGCGGTGAACTGGGTGCACTCATTGGGGATTGAGTATGCTTCTGAGCTGCCAGAAAGTCGAATACCGGAACGCTACCAGTCCTGGCATGGCCTCTCTGTGGTCTCTTTGGTGACTCGATACTGACCCGCCTCCCTCCCTGAGGAATGTGTCCTGGAATCAAGCTTGACGGTGACGAGGATAATGGCCGGTTTGTGACACTTGCTGCGGTAGGGTTGGTCTGATGTAAAGGTGCAGATGTCGGCGTTGTAGCAGCTTTCGCAGGTGACATTGGCCGCTGAGAGGGTATTGGCCCTTGACTAACACCAGAACTGGCGGTTCCTGGCCGAGACGGTGTAGCTCGAGGGCTGTGGAGGGGTGCCTGGGTTGCGTGAAGATGATCCGGGGCTCCATTTGCATGGAAGAATTTCCTGCTCGTTGGTTCGGGAGTTGAGGCCTGCGCTGGATTGAAGGACGAGGTGCTCGAGGGGCTACTCGACTTCCTGCTCTCCGCTTGGGATCCATTGGCGTAGTAGAAGGTAACGGGCCGTTGCTGCACCTGAGGTTGTGGGGGAGGTGGTTGCTGAGCTCCTGGTTTGACCTCGCTCGCAAAGAAGAACTTGGAATCTCTCGAGTCCTGCTGAGAGTTCTGCCTTGAACTATTTCCGTCACTTGTATCGGATTCCTTTCTCAATAACGGTGCGTGGGTTGTTGTTGTCGAGTACGTGCTCTGCCTATTGGCTATTCGTGGCGTAATTGCAGGCAGATGGGGCGCCAGCCCAGGGGACGATGAGGCATCTTCATTGTGGGAGTTGGAAATGGACGGCGTTGTCGAACCTGCGTTGAGAGACCTCCTCGACAGTGGCGTCGACCCGAGATGCGGTGATGCCTTGGTAGCAATCTTGGGGGTAAGGGGCGGTCGGGTGAGGGCTTTGGCCGCAGTAGCACTCAGGTGAGGATGACGGGGTCTATTGCTGTTGTCGCTGCCTGGGGGCATGGTGGGAGCGGACACAGTCCTGTTTCCCGGACGCGTCCTCGTGGTTGTTGTTGTTGTGATGGTGGTGGTAGTCTGCCGTGGTTTCAGCGATGGGGCATTTTGCTGGCTTTGGTTGCGGAGACGTAGCGGTGGGCGGGCACGGGGCAGCGGCAGCTGGGCGGGATTGGAGGAGGGAGGTGTGGTGTAGATCGTCGGCGGCCGTAGATTTGCTAATTTGACGTTTGTGTCGCTGCCCAATGTCTGGCTGGCGCTGGGAGAGCTGAAGCTACGCACAGCCTTGGGGTTGTTGGGGCGCGTCGATTCGTCGGGATGTTTCGGCTGTGTTGTGTTTGCGGTATTGAGAGATCGCATCATAAACTTTTTCGACCTGGAGCAGAGCCAGAGGGCGGTGACCTAGTGGAGGTGCGTCACTGTCGTGCCACGGCCCCTCGATTTGTAGTGACCCGGCCTTGGGCGTCAAGGTCAGAAATTAGCGGCCGCTCCGGGAGTGAGGGAGGCTTTCACAGGCTAAGGGAATTGGGTATTTTACGGCATGAAAGCAAGCAATGCGCATTGTCGAGAGATCGATTTTGGCTCGGATAGCTAAACAAACATCGGAGGAATTCCCCCCTAGGCGTGGGACCGAATGCCCCGTGCAGCCTGGCATTCACTCGACGTCAAGGTCGGGCAGCTGTGCTGACATTACTCGGGGCCCGTCTGCACTATTTCCCTGCTTTGTCCAGGCCCTCTCCTCCTCCACAGAATCACAGGTGCCTCCTCCATAGCTGCCTGCCGCCAGACCAGATCGCCTGTTTGGGGCAAGAGCATACCCGTAGGTCACCTGGGGCGCTATTTTAGGACCCGGGACTCAGCTCCAGGGACCTTCTTCTTAATGGCACGTGTACAAGAACGTGCGGCCTCTGCATAAATTAGTAATGCCGCGTGGTACTTGTACAACCTCTAGTACGAACTCCGCATATTTCACGGCAAGCCCTGTGGGGAACTCTGGCCCTGCACGACAAATTATAGGGACCGCGAGCGAAGCCTCCTACAACTCAAACCTCCCCCCCCTTGCATGTCTCCATTCCGAGAGAACAGAACATGGGTGTGAAATCTTCAACGCCCCTCTCGATCCCGCAAACCATCCCACCATCGTATGACGTCCGCAGACGATGGTAGCCGTGGGGATCTCGCTTATCGTCGCCTCTGTTGTTTGGGTATTTTTCCGACCACCGGGTTGGTTGCCCCCATGGCTCTTGCAATGGAGAGCCTTCCTCAGAGGCAGCATCGGGGCTGACCCTCCATCGGGACGCCGCGAGGCTCGATCTGATGATTCTCCCGGGACACACCGGGGGGAACATACCGGAGCCATCTCCTCGGAGGACACCCCGTCAGCTACTCGGGAGGTTATTGGCAAAGGCTCCATGCCGCCATTAGCGTCGATAGCCTCGCCAGCGTCCAGTTCCCAGAGTCCCTTCAATGCTGACCAACATGGCGAGGAGCAAACGACGCCCAAGGCATCGCCAGCGATACCTTCACAGCCCGTGCCCAGCTTCTCTATAGGCGACGATGAGTACTCTGATTCCGTGCCAGCATCCTCTTCTGCGCCGTCGCAGGGCTCAGCTCCATCGCTGATGCCACCACCTCCTCGTCCGGCAAACCCGCCACGTCTCGCACAATTCCCAGCCGCCAACTCCGCCCAGCGCGCCCGTGGCCCAACACCAAACCGCGGTCCCTCCTCTGGCCTTGCCCCTCCCCCGACACACTCATCCATCCCTACAAAGCCCAGCCGGAAGGTGGTCCTGACGCCTGGTCACTCTCCTCTCGACTGGGCGCGGATATCTGGGCCCAGCTCCGACCTACGCGGCGTACCCTCCTCCACTCCATACCTACGCGTAACACCCTCGATGTTGAAGAATCAGACGGGGCGGAAGGGAAAGGACGCGTGGATGGGTCTGAATGGTAAAGTGTACAATATTACACCCTATGCCGAATTCCACCCGGGGGGGATACCTGAACTACTGAGGGGGGCGGGCAAGGATGCAACAAAGCTATTTGGAGAGGTTCACCCTTGGGTAAATTATGATACGATGCTCTCTGCCTGTCTCGTGGGCCTTCTGGTGGATGAGCCTGAAGGTACTGAGGATGTGAGTGAGATGGAACAAATGGACTGATCCATAATCAAACGTTCGTATGGATGAGGTAGGTGTACGAATATAGGATACGTTTGGCGAAATGCCACCGAGAATTCCTTTCATCTAGATAGAAAAGATACCCTATGTACTGAGAGACAGGCCTCCTACTACCGTCTCTTGCCAAATCTGAATTTGAGATCATCGTCACTGTCACTATCAGCAATCTCAATGACCTTCCGTGCCTGTCGCGGTCTCTTCGTTGGTTGTGCCTTTGGAGGCTCTGGGGCCGGCCGCTTGCCCTGGCTCTGCGTGGTAGCCCGTGAGGACTGACTGGCCAACCCCGACTCGCGCTGGGTCGTTCTTGTCCGCCTTTGGGACGCGCTGCTGTTGTCAGTTGGTTCCGGGGCCTCGTCTTCGCTATCAGACATCATGATCCGCGGTGCTCGACGTGCCGGAGCCTCTACCTGTGGTGCGGATGGTTGTGACTCGGTGCCCGACGGCTGGCTATTGGTCTTCTTTTTCCGCTGGGTTTCATTTTCCAGCCAATAGTCATCGCCAATTCCAAACTCCTTATTCCTGACTTCGGTCAGCGAGATGATGACCCTTGCCGGTGCCCTTCCAGTGACCTCGCCGCGCCGACGGAACTTTTTGAAATTCTTCATGCCGTTCCACTTGGGATTCCACCGTCCATCAGCAATTTCCAGTTCCCGACTCCGTACAGCAGACGAGGGATCTCTTATATCCATCTTCTCAACAATTTGGAGCTTGCGAATTTGTGATAAATCGATATCATCAGGGAGATGTGCCAGGTCTTCCTTCTCTGCCCGAGCTCGGGCCTCCTCCTGTTCCCGATTTTGCGCAGCTACAGCAAGTACGTCAAGCTCTTTTTTAATCTTTTTTGGTGGTTTAACAGGCTCAGGTTCCGGCTCTGGCTCCGGTGACGGTGAAGCAAAATGGTCGCCTGCTTCTAACCGTTGGCGTTTAAACCTGGCTGCAGCAGGTGCTATGTCACCCATATCATCATCCGCATGCGGAGGCGATCTTTTTCTTTGTGACCTGCTACCCCTGGAAGGCGCCGAAGGCTCCCGTGATGCCTCGGCTTCTTGAGACATGAACAAGCCTTGCTCCTCTTGCTGTGGGGTTGTATTGCTCTCGGTGGGGGGCACTGACGGCGTATCATCCATATCAATATCTGAGTCGTTATCAAATCCTGCAAACCGCCGCTTCACAGCGGTTCGAGGACGGCCTCTGCGAGGAGCAGGTCTCGATTCCTGTATAACTTGAGGTTCATCTTGCGATGCAGCATTTGCATCACTCCGGACAGCTTCTTGTCGTGTATTTGCGTTAGGCTGAGGGGGTTGGGTAGTTACTGAGTCGTCAACTTCCAGAGGCCGGCGTAGAATGCTGGCATCTTTGATTAAAATTGCCTCCAGAAATTCACTCTGTTCGATTGGGCGATGATCCAAGCGTAGGGAGACGGCAGTAAAGAAGTCCGTGTACCACGGTATTTGGTCTCCTTTTGCCGGGACGAATCTAACAAGAACCGCCCCTTTTCCTCCGTCTCCGAGGGCCTGTTCACCAGCGATCGCCTTGATACGGTTGACAAAACTGTCCACCTCTGTCTCCCCTGCCTCAACAATTTCCATAAAGGCTTTCCCACCGCCATTGGTGATTGGAGCCAAAAGATTGTCATACTGTGCCTTGTCGTAAAAGATGAACGTGTATCCTTCGAAAACTTCCTGCCGTTCAGGGTCAGGGCTATAAGTCTCGTCTGGATGCTGTACAGGCTCTCCCCCGCGTGGTGGAAGATGTTTTATTGGGTCAGGCCAGCTCGCCTCATAATCCTGTTCGAGCGCGCTGTTTTCCGACCCATCCCCAACCGGGGCGGCCGCAGCTTCCACCACGGCGTCGAGGAAGGTCTCGGTAACGATGTATTTTGCGTTTATTAGAGCCTGGAGACCTTTCGCGGTGTTTCGCTTCTTGGAGACGACGTGGGTGGTGTACTTGGCGCTATATTCGGTCAAAAGCTTGATATCAAGGTTCTCGAACCGATCTTGGAGTGTTGTGAGTGGCTGGGTCTGCAATTCCTTCTTCGTGAAGGAGAATGTGAATATTACGGGATTCCAAGATAGCCTGGAAAGGTCAGAAACAATTGTCAAGTAGCGCAAACCATACTTTTGCTTACACAAATTTGCTTGGACACTTGCCCATGGTGATCTCAGCCTCGTCGCCATCAACAACATATCGGTCACCCTTTATCTTCCGGCCATTGACCACTGTTCCTATCTTGGTCTTCAGGTCTTCGATTGTAACTCCAGACCGGCTAGAGAGATTGTATGCATGCCCAGGCTGGACATTGTCGACGGTGATGGTAAGGTGCTTACGAGATATCGTGTTATGTGAAATCGCAAGCTGGCCAACTGTCGCAGTAAGAACAATTAGAGGAGATATACAACCACCGTACGGGCTAGTTTAGACACCTACCTTCCGACACTGTCCGCCCGAAGAGATATGTTTTGCCAGGTCTCAACCACAGCTTTCGGCCTGAGGAATGAACGGGGTGTCAGTCACAGAACGTCAATGCGATGTCTCCTGAGGAGGTGGGTTTCACATGCCGTCGAAGGCCTCATCGCTCTGCAAGAGCCACATTACTGAGATATCGGACTCATAGGTCGTACCGTGCTATGGCAATCCACTGTCCGCTGCCGTAGCTTAGCTTTGTCGTGCGACTGGCCGTTGCGATGACGTGGGAACAAGGCCTAAGCCAACGTCCAGCGCGTGGATCCTTTTCCAGTGGGGCGTCCCGACGCGTTTGACAAACGCCAGCTCACGTGCTTCCAGGTTGCATCCCATCCCGCTGTCACTGTATCAACAGCCCTACGCCTTTCATCCAATGTTCTCACCAAGAACCCACCTGCAAACGCTCAACGGTTGTACAATCTGAATACATACATTTTCATTTATCCTGCTTTCAGCTGGTAATCCTCCCTCTGTTGAAAGCCACCACTCATTTTGGCCATCATAGAGAACAGTTTGAGAAAGCTACATGAAACAAAGCTCGTCCATTATGTCAGCTGCTTGGATCTAACGTGCTTGCCGTCCGTGCCTGATGAATCTGGTGATATCGCTAGGTCCGGGTCGCCGCATTACGCCGCGACGATGGCCGATCAATGAATCGAGAATAATCCTACGTATGATGAGATTCGCCTAGATCTTTCCGCCGTCCCGATATGCTTTTCTTCGCCCAGAAACAGATTTCTTCAGCTCACAAGACTGGCCACTGGCCCAACCAGTCACAAAAGCCCGAGAACACCCTTCAGAATCGTTCGATGCTGCGGGTAAAGCAGGCAGCGCTGCTGATTGGCCAATCCACCCCCACCCCACCCGGCGCCCTGTTTCTGCTGACCCTTGAACTGGCAACAATTGGTTAATCCCGGGCTTCTCCTCGCTGTCAGGCCATGCGGGTTCGAAGGACGTACCAGGGCCCCCGGCGCCGGCCGCCTGCGGTTTGCATCGTACCATGAGGCTCGAGAGCTGGAGCTCGCCGTGTGGCCGGCTGCCAGAATCCATGCCTCTGCGTCAGACGTGGCGTGATATTTGGGATCAGAGGACCATCCTTTACCAATTCATCCTCGCCTAACGACTCCGCCGTACGAAAGGAGTCGGGATCTTGAGGATGCAACGGCGATTTTGGGATATACGTATCCATGTAGGAGCCATTCTTGGGTATGGGCGGCTGTTCGTCCAGAGTATAATAACCACGAGGACCTATGCCCTCCTTCCTGGTTCTTCTCTCCCATCATCAAAGTAATAAACAAGATCCAAACAACTAGATCTCCCCTCCATCCTCTTCAACGCCACTCAATCTTAATTGTCTATCCTCGCCAAGGATAATAACCCTCCTCTTACGACTCTTCTCACGAACAACAAACAACCCCTCTCTATAATCATGTCTCCCGTTACCGCTCAAGTGGTGCGCACCATGGGTCGCCGTCAATTCTCCATCATCCGATCTCTTCGCCAGGTTGGTCGCTCAATGGAGGCCCATCCCTTTGAGCGTCTGCCTGCAGCCAAGTCTGCTCCCGCCGACTGGGGAAGGCAGTTTCGCCGTGTTGGTTCACAAGCCGCTATGTAAGCTCCGCCCCGAGGGATCTCCTCTCCACTCCGGTCCCGTCTTTCCTTGCCCCTTCACCCCTCTTTTGGCACTTGAACATCACCCCATGTCTGGACGTAAATCACCTGATGCATTTTGCCATGAAAATGGGCTGACCGAGTTTCCTCTTTCCACAGCTACTTCCCCGGCATGGCTTTCATCCTGGGCTGGCCCTACCTCTCCTACATGTACTACGACGGCCGTGTATAAAAATAACATATGCAATTTCGCCAGTTCTTATTAGACTGGGATTTACGGGACTGGTGTCGAGATATTAGGCGTACAGGATAATTTGATGTGACTCAGTTTCGCATGGTCGTTGCTACAAACGTATATTTCTATTTCTTACATACATACTTCTACATGAACAAAAATCAAGAAAAAAAAAATCAATATTCTACATGACATTAAATCCTATCCACGTGTGATAGAAGAAGTAGAACTAACTTATAGATCTCAGCACTGCATAATCTCACAATTTAGGGATGGGTTCGTGTGCTCATGCAGGAATGGGCACTGATATAGATCCTAGGGCTCAACAACGTTGACTGTTATATGGTCCCTGCGTCTAGATGTTTGAGATTACGACTGCATCATCTTCATCCCCCAAACCCACACGAGAACGTGGGCTTAATGCAGCCCTGGGATCCATAACACAGTTCGACACTTGATGTAACAATAGATGCAGCCCTAGATGGTGGTTCCTATCCACAGGTGGGCACTCGCATCCATCCATTGGCCAATTCATGCAATGGCGAAACCAAGTGGCATACTATGCTGAAATTCTTGAGAGCTATCTAAATCACCCATTTTTACTTCTATAAAACTAAGAGATCGCTTTTATGTTACAGTATAGTTTTCAGATGAGAGGGTCTGATAGGAGGTCTGCTTGGCTAAATTTCAAACCTTGCCCAGCCTCCATACCTCGAGCAGCATCCCCTTCCTCGCAACAACCCGCGCCGAATGCACGAGCTCTTCGTTGTTGTCAATCTTGACCCGATCAAACTCCTCCGGCGCCTGGTTTGTCATGCGAGCAATCTCGTTGACCTCGGCAATCTTCCACCCGCGCAGCACGAACAAGCAGAGAGCGCCCGCGATGAACATGATGCCGACGAGGAGCTGCGTGCCGAGGTAGCTGCCCGTGTTGTCGACAATCTTGAGGGCGATGGGCTCGCTGAACGTGCACGGCAGCACAATCGTCAGCCACATGATGTTCAGCCCCGAGGCCACGTGCTTCAGACCGACCACCTCCGCCGTCACCGGACCGATGGTGACCCAGAACGTGCCGGCCACGGCGCCCCCCACGAGCGAGTAGAATATCAACACCCCATACAGGGTGGCGGGGATCCAGACGGCCAGCGACATGATGGCGGCAGATAGGGTCATCAGGGCCGCCATTGTGATGCGGCCGGTGCGATCGCTGAAGTACCCGATCAGGGGCCGCCCAACCGCCTGGCCGAGGTTGAAGACTGCGCTTATCAATGCCGCCTCGGACGAACCCAGGCCGATCTCGTTGGCATAGTTTGCCAGACTGAATATCAGGACGACATAGGCCAGCATGCTGAACCAGCCCCATGCAGTCATGAGCAGGTACTCGGGCCGCTTGAATAGTGAAATGTCGAAAGCGAGATGAGTCGAGCCAATGATCTTGTTCCTGTCCTTGATGAGGATCGCGCAGATGGTGTTTACAACGAATGCGATGATACCGAGGATCCGAAACGCCCAGGCCAAGCCGAGCCGCTCTATCATGGCACCTGTAGCGAACGAGTATACAAGGCCACCGAGGCCGGAGCCGCAGGTCGCGAAGCCGTTAGCCAGCGAGCGGCGGGTCGTGAACCATTGGGGCACGATGGGCACAGATGCGACAAACATGAAGCCCATCCCCAGACCGAAGAGGATGCCCTGGGTAAGGAAGAGGTGCCAGATCTGGGTGGCGAAGCTCGCTGCTATGAGACTGGCCGACTCGAGGACAACACCGAGCAGGATGGTTGGTTTGGTACCGAACCGGCGGACGCCGATAGTGGCGAGTGGGGAGATGAGAAGCGCACAGCTGAAGCTCAGAGACCCTACAAAGGCGTACTCGAGGGAGGTCGCTCCAGGATAGACATCGTTGGCTAGATAGTAGGCGAGGAACACGCCGTAGGACGAGTTTAGACCCCATGAGTGACCGTTGATGGTCGCAACGCACGCTGTGCAAACCCACCCGTAGCCGCCATTCGGAGGCGGTGGGGGATTGGCCGGCACATTTGTGGTATTGTCTGGTGCGGCAACTTGGTTGTCTTGTTTGTTTGAGACTCGAATGTGGTTCGAGCCGTCCGTGCCCATCTCGACTTCCTTTACATCGGCCTTCATGGCGTCGATCCGTACACTTTCAAGAACTGGTGCTCAGCATCAAAGAAAGAATCGAGCTCCCCGAGCGACTGTTGAACTTTTCCGAGGCCCCTCCCCGCTGCTCAAATGCTCCGATCTCAGGCCCGATCTCAACTCCGATCCAACCTGACTGAGCCGTCCGTATCCGTGAGAGTCAGCAGTGGAGTGTGCGTAACTGGTTCCCATCCCATTGAAGAGAACTTGAGGAAACAAACCACATCGTCCCCAGGAAGAGGGGGAAACAACCGACAACCGACGTCGGGGCGGCTCTCCTTTCACCTCCCCACTTTGGACATTCCCATCCCCGGATTTTTTTTCACGCCTTTTGCTGGACACTATTGCCAAGCCAAGCCGGGAATAACGGGGGATGTAACCTCGATGAGATTGATTCTTGCCGCCATTTCCTTTCTTGGCAACGAGCATCTGCAGGGAGCGTCATGATAGCTCCCAAAAAGGCTCTGTGTGTCTTCTTCGTCTTGCTGTTCTAGTTGTGTATCTACGTGCCTCCTGTGGGGGAGAAGGAAGGGCCAAGTTTCATTCTCCCATCCACAAATTACTGACTCGTCGTCATTCGGCGAGACAAGTTCCACCTTATTTCAAACCCAAAAACCATATCTCAACACATCTGATTTTCCACAATCGTAGATTACCGTGATTACCCACGGAATCGAATTTGCAGTCACTGCGACATAATAATAACATATTGTCCTTAATTCGTCATATATTCGCTTTTGTCCCAAAATTATATCTCAGTATGTGCAAGAAAGGGGGAAAGCCTACGCCAAATCAATAAGTACTGGCTTCTCCTTAAGCATGTCAAATCCAATGTTTTCCCCTTTTCCAAACTACCTACAATGCAAAAATGTCTGTTTTTATTCGCTCGTCTGTTTGTTCATTTAAGCTGTGTGCTGAGTCTTCTTGCCGCGAAGCTGCTTGCCTTTGTCGGACCAGGGGAAGTGGATAACGGGGACGGTGAAGAAGGAGTTGCTATTGTCAAAAGTCAGCATCGGGTAGCGTGAGGAGAAGAGATATGGATGGACTGACCTGCTGTCCTGGATACCGGCCAGGGCATTGTACCAGGCAAGGAAGGCAGCGAGGAACCCAAATAGCCCACCGGCCTTCTTCAGGGCGAGCGCAGCCTCGGCG